GTTAAAGAATACTTACACCTTTGCTAGCTTTATTCTTATTAGCTGTTCATCATGAAAACGTCAAAATATACCCAATCCCCATATATTGATCCTCTAGTTTGAACATTTTGCCACTCTTCTTTCCTCCCATTTTCCGGGCTCAGAGACAGCCCAGCCCTCGCCAAGGTTACAGTGAACTTCCCAGAGGCTTCCCAGAGCTGGAGAACCTTTCAGTCTTTCCTATAATTTTCTCTAATCAGCCCAGAGGATCAGGTTGCATGGGGACATAATGACTCTTGTGAACACTTGGAATTCAGGTTGGGGCTCTCCATCATATTTATGCTGTCACTTCTCAAAGGCTAGGGCTTAACCACCATTAAGATGAGGTGCCCCAAAGCAGGTTAAGTGCCTTGCATCAAGTTATTTGCAAAACCATTTTCATTTTTTCAGGCCGCCACCCTTGGCAAGTCCAATCATGCTTGTCTCAACTTTCACTGCCTAGATTTGGGAAGGCAGGAGAAAGGAATTCAGTACAGCCCTCATTCCCTGTTTACGTGACAAGCCCCCAAAGATGACCCAGTTGCCCCATTACCTCTGCTGGGGGTGGAAGAGGGCTCTTTGAAGAGCATCTGGTTTTGCTAGTTTGAAAAGAAATTCCTATTTTAGACTTAAAAGGATGGTATCTGCCCATCCTATAAGGACTTGACATTTCTTCTTGATTCTTTCATCATCTTATGGCTCAGCTGTTCAGTTAGCAAATACTTATCTACCCAAATACACAGAAATAAGTCATCTCTACTTGCATTGCTTTTTAACTTAGAAAATGTCATCACAAGGGGCCACACGTGGTGGTTCACACTTGTAAACCCAGCACTTTGGGAGGCCAAGGCGGGCAGATCACAAGGTCAGCAGTTCGAGACCAACGTGACCAACATGGTGAAACCCTGTCTCTACTAAAAATACAAAAATTAGCTGGCTGTGGTGGCATGCTCCTGTAATCCCAGCTACTCAGGAAGCTAATGCAGGAGAATCACTGGATCCCAGGAGGCAGAGGTTGCAGTGAGCTGAGATCGTGCCATTGCACTCCAGCCTGGTGACAGAGTGAGACTCCATCTCAAAAAAAAAAAAAAAAAAAAAAAGCATCACATTCACTGACTTGGTTACTCTTTACAAAACCCTAAAGAGGTAGACTCAAACAGTGGTGATAACCTTTATGTTATAGGCCCATAGAGGTTTAGCAATTTGCTAAGGCCATCCAGCAAGAGCATGGCAGAATCTGGGTTTATAATCCAGTCGCAGACCCTGAGTCCAGCCCTTTTTCCTTGTCTCTGTTCTTCCCATCATTTATTATAGCTCTCCCCTGCTCACCCCACCCTTCCCTTCAAGCTGGGTAAGTTGTAGACCCAGCCTAAGAGCTGACAGGGTAGGGGTGGGGCCTGGTGGTGATTTTTTTTTTTTTTTTTTTTTCCACTGAGAGGGAGGATCAGGTGGATGACTCTGAAGGACCCAGCTCCCTTCCTGTGAACGAACTCTTCGTGGTTTGGTTGCTCACTTTATTTGCCAGGTAGCAGACCGCAGCTATTGCATGGAGTAGCCTCCAATCCCATCCTGGGGATCCTAGCTTGGAGGCAGAATCTTCCTTTAAAAATAACCAGGGTTGGCTGAACACGGTGGCTCACGCCTGTCATCCTAGCACTTTGGGAGGCCAAGGCGGGAACATTGGTTGAGCCCAGGAGTTCAAGACCAGCCTGGGCAACATAACAAGACCCCATCTCTACAAACAAACAACAAACAAAACCAACAAAACCAAGGCCTTAACAGAGTCTCTCCAGAGAGAAGGGGAGCCAACCGTGAGACTATAACCCATGTTAAGAGCCTGTCTCAGCTCTGCCATTTACTAGTTTCAGGATGTCAGGTAAATTTCTTAACCTCTGTGAGCCTCAGTTTCATCTTCAAAATGGAGAAAATCTGGTACTTCCCCTCTCACCCCCAAACGAGGTCTTATTTTTCTCGGGCATGGGCAGGGCTGTTAGATTCAGAAATGTTTGCAAGGGTGGCCCCTGGTGGAAGAAATGAGAACTGCTGCCCAGGCGTCAGGGATGGCTTCAGGGCTTTCTGGCAGAAACCTGATCCTCTTGTCTAGCCTTGTAAAATAGTAAGGACGGCAGGAATTTTTATAAAAGAGCACTTGGAAGTAATGGAAATTCTATCAGACAATTATTTGAAAGGGAGGAAAACAGGCCAAGCTGAGAGTTTCCTAGAATGAATGGTTTTATCGACTATTCCCCTCTGCCTGGAAGCCCCTTTGATCCAGGCTTCTGCAATGGCTCCTTCAGGTCCGAGCTCAGGTGGCCCTGCCTCAGAAAGGCCTGCCCTCACCATGCAATATAAGTTACATCTTCAGCAAACTCCTTTCTCCTCTGTCACTCTTACGTCACCCTCTTTTATTTTACTTTCTATTACTTACTGCCTGAAATTACAAGTTTCTGTCTTTGTCCATTGTTTCCTCAGTAGTGTAAGCCCAATGAGAATGGGAGCCTTAACTATCTTCATCACGATTTTCTTCTCACAGTCCAACACTGGCATATAGCTTGATGGTCACCTATTTGAATGAGTCCTTTGAGATTCTAATGTGTAGTGTAGAAGCTTCAACCACAGCTTCTCCGGCTTTAGGGTATTAATACTTTTTAAAGTTTTAATACTTTTTATTTTATTTTATTTTATTTTATTTTTGAGAAGGAGTCTGACTCTGTTGCCCAGGCTGGAGTGCAGTGGCATGATCTCAGCTCACTGCAACCTCCACCTTCCAGGTTCAAGAGATTCTCCTGCCTCAGCCTCCCAAGTAGCTGGAATTACAGGTGCCTGCCACCAAGCCTGGCTAATTTTTTTTTTTTTTTTGTATTTTTAGTAGAGATGGGTTTCACTGTGTTGGCCAGGCTGGTCTTGAACTCCTGACCTTAAGTGATCTGCTCACCTTGGCCTCCCAAAGTGCTGGGATTACAGGTGTGAGCCACAACTGGCCTTTGTTTGTTGTTGTTATTGTTTGAGATGGTCTTAATTTGTCCCTCAGGCTGGAGTGCAGTGGTGTGATCACGGCTCACTGCTGCCTCAATCTCCTGGCCTCAAGTGATCCTCCAACCTCATCTTCTCCAGTAGCTGGAACCACAGGTATCCAGCACCATCACACCCAGCTAATTTTATTTTTATTTTTTGTGTATAAGAAATAGGGTCTCCTTATGTAGCTCAGGCTGGTCTCAAGTTCAAATGATCCACCTGCCTCAACCTCCCAAAGTGCTGGGATTACAGGCATGAGCCTCTGTGCCTGGCCAATTTTAATACTTATTAAAGTATTAAAACTTTAATAGCTTTAAGTGGTTTTGTCTCTAAGCCATTGGGTATAACATTCTCCACCCAAGCAGTCCTTTTCTGCCTTTGTCTTGCTATCCTGTATGGTCAGGTTAAAGACCTTCCTATGAAACCTTCACCATCTCTCTAAACTGACAGTGATCAGTTGATCAGTTTCTCCTCTGTGCCCCATGCTGCAAGTAGGTAACACCTCTTTGTTCCTCGGACAGTAAGCACGTAATCAGCACTCAGTAACTATTGATTGACTTATCAGTGACTTTTGTGGAATACTCATGGGGGCTGAATCAATGATTACTCAAAGCTACATTTGTTCTTAAAATTTTTATTTAATGTTTATTATGTCCAAGGTGCTGTTTTATGTACCTTAAAACAATCCATGATCGCACCACTGCACTCCAGCCTGGGTGACAGAGTGAGACTCTTGTCTCAGAAAACTAATAGTTACTATTGTTGCCATCATTCTACAGTTAGGGAGACTGAGGCATAGAGAGGGTAAGTAACTTGGCCTGAAGTCACAGAGCTCATAAGTGGCCGAGTTGGGACTTGAACCCAGGTAGTTTGGTCTAGCGTCTACTGTTAACCATTATTCCATGCTAGCGCTCTCATTATCTGCTACTGCTGTTCTAAATGTAAATGCCTTATTTAAATGTAGATTACCCATAGCATCTTATTATTAGGCACTAATTTCTGGGCACAATAGGTCTTCAGTGTCAGTTATTGTAGTGATCTGTTCTCATGCTGACTGGCAAGAGTCATTGGATTGAACAGCCTCTTTTTCGTTGTTGTTATTGAAAAAGAGAAGTTACGGCCAGATGAGGTGGCTCACACTTGTTATCCCAGCACTTTGGGAGGCCGAGGTGGGCGGATCACAAGGTCAGGAGTTCAAGACCAGCCTAACCAACATAGTGAAACCCTGTCTCTACTAAAAAAATACGAAAATTAGCCAGGCAAGTTGGCGCATGCCTGTAGTCCCAGCTACTTGGAAGGCTGCAGGAGAATCGCTTGAACCTGGGAGGTGGAGGTTGCAGTGAGCTGAGATGGTGTCACTGCACTCCTGCCCGAGCAACAGAGTGAGACTCCATCTCAAAAGAAAAAGAAGTTACCTTTTTTTTTTGAGATGGAGCCTCACTCTGTTGCCTGAGCTGGAGTGCAGTGGTGCAATCTTGGCTCACCGAAACCTCCGCCTCCCAGGTTCAAGCAATTCTCCTGCCTCAGCCTCCTGAGTAGCTGTCATTCAGGTGCCCACCACCACACCCGGCTGATTTTTATATTTTTAGTAGAGACAGGGTTTTACCGTGTTGGACCAGGCTGGTCTCAAACTCCTGACCTCAGGTAATCTGCCTGCCTTGGCCTTCCAAAGTGCTGGAATTATAGGCATGAGCCCCTACACCCAGCCAAGAAGTTCTTTCTAGGCAAGATAATATTGTCAATTGACAAGAAGATGAGAAAGAAATCAGAGCACAATGAAGTCACCCTATAGTTGTGAAGAAGATTATGGCAATAGCTTTGTTGATCTGTCCCCGGATTATGGTTTCTTTTGTTGTGTTTGGTTTTGTGGGAAGCTTCTGGTGGGTGAATCAAGTTTGCTTTTTGGAGAAGGAATGCTCTTGTCTTTAATCTGTCCAATTTCCTAATCTCTGATTTCTGCCCTGCAGTGAGTTTTGAAGATTGCACTGGTCGACCAAGGACAGCCTACTTTTCCGTCGACACCCGATTCAAAGTGGGCACAGATGGCGTGATTACAGTCAAAAGGCCTGTACAACTTCATAACCCACAGATCCATTTTCTGGTCTACGCCTGGGACTCCACCTACAGAAAGTTTTCCACCAAAGTCACGCTGCAGGCAGTGGGGCACCCCCATCATGTATGTTGGCATTTTTCTGAGAAGTTAACTGTTGTTTTAGTCTGCTGTCTAATCTGGGTTTCTCAGCCTTGCTACTGTTGACATTTTGGGCTGGGTGATTTTGTGTTATCAGGGTTCTCCTGTGCACTGTGTAGGACGTTTAGCAAGCATGCCTGTCCTTAACTGGTTAGACCAGTAGCACTTCCACCAGTTGTGACAACCAAAAGTATCTCCACGTGTTGCCAACGGCCCCTGGAAGAACAGATCAGCCCCAATTGAGAGCTCGTGGTCTAACTGAATAATTCTTGCTGGGGCTTTTGGAGTGTGGGGACCGGGTAATGTGGAAGAGTGGGAAAGGCCTGGACACTGTCTGGGACTGAATCTCAGCCATGTCATTTACTACTTGGGCAAGACTGGAGGAGTTACATCACCTGTCTATGCTTGAGTTTATCTGTAAAATAGAGATAATAGTGAGGATAGAATTAATTAATACAGTGAAATGCTAGAAATCCACAAGGTGTACTTAGCCATTGTTAGCTGTCTTTACCACTCCCCTCTTGGGGGAAAAATGAATGAGAGCTGGATTCTTCTCTCTCTCTTTTTTTTTTTTTTATTAAGGCAGAGTCTCGCTCTGTGGCGCAATTCACTGCAACCTCCACCTCCCTGGTTCAAGCGATTCTCCTGCCTCAGCCTCCTGAGTAGCTGAGATTACAGGTGCCTGCCATCAGGCCTGGCTAATTTTTTTTTTTTTTTTGAGATGGAGTTTCGCTCTTGTTGCCCTGGCTGGAGTGCAGTGGTGCGATCTCGGCTCACCGCAACCTCCACCTCCTGAGTTCAAACGATTCTTCTGTCTCAGCCTCCCAAGTAGCTGGGATTACAGGCATGTGCCACCATGCCTGGCTAATATTTTGTATTTAGTAGAGACAGGGTTTCACCATGTTGGCCAGGATGGTCTCGATCTCTTGACCTCGTGATCCACCCGCCTCGGCCTCCCAAAGTGCTGGGATTATAGGCATGAGCCACCGTGCCCGGCCATGCCTGGCTAATTTTTATATTTTTAGTTGAAGCGAGGTTTTGCCATGTTGGCCAGGCTGGTCTCGAACTCCTGACTTCAAATGATCCACTTGCCTTGGCCTCCCAAAGTGCTGGGATTACAGGCGTGAACTATTGTGCCTGGACAAGAGCTGGATTCTCTGATCACTTTGCTTTTTGTGCTTCCAGTGGGAAGGGTCTTGGCAAGGAAGAAGAACCACCAGTGGGCAGCTCTTGCCCCATTAGACTGTAACCTCCACAGGACCCTTTCCCATTGTATTGGCAGTACCTGGCCTTAGGTCTGGCCCCTACCATGAACAGATAGACAGATGGATTGGCCATGAATGGAAGGATGGCTGTCTGCCTAGTTTCTTGGCAGAAATGTTTCTAGGGTTTGCTACCCGAAGCCAATCACCTTTGCCAGTTTCTCAGCTGCTCCTGTGGTGCTTCCTACCGAAATGTCTCTCTGGGGGGATATTCTAGTTGGTCCTGCTTACCGCTTTGGAAGTATGGAATGCGTTATAAGTGCCAAGGCCTGTGAGGTTGGAGCCTACTTTTCTCCCTAAAGACTCTTGATAGTCTTGAAATGTAATAGTCCTCCTGATAGATCTGATTTTTCTCCCTGGTGTAATTAGACCAGAAAAACGAGGAATCTAATACTATAGGACTATATTAACATAGCTCCTTGACTCAAAGTCTCCAAGGGATCCCATTATTCACATGAAAAAAATTCAGCACAGTGAGTCCTTGCCAGGCAGCTGTGTGTGGAAGCCTCTTATGATCCAGAGACAGTTTTATTTTGTTTTTTTAAAGACAGAATCTCACTCTGTCTCCCAGGCTGGAGGGCAGTGGTGTGATCTCGGCTCATTGCAACTTCTGCCTCCTGGGTTCAAACAATTCTTCTGCCTCAGCCTCTTGAGTAGCTGGGATTACAGGTACCCGCCACCAAGCCTGGCTAATTTTTGTATTGTTAATAGAGACAGGGTTTTACCACGTTGGCCAGGCTGATCTCAAACTGCTGACCTCAAGTGATGTGCCCGCCTCGGCCTCCCAAAGTGCTGGGATTACAGACGTGAGCCACCATGCCTGGCCCAGGATACCGTGTTGATGGTCAGGTTTATATTTTGTTCCTGTGCTGGCATCAAATCTGAACAAAACCATAACTCTGCGTTTTCTAACCAGTCTAACCATCATCTGCATCACTACCTTTATTGAGCACTTGCTATGTTTCCGGCACTATTCTCAATGCTTTAAATGTGCAAGATCAGCATCTCATTGAATCCTTCCAAAAATTCTATGAGATAGGTTCTACTGTTATCCCCATTTCAGACATTAGGAAACTGTAGTACAGAGAAGTTAAGTAATATCTGCCTGGGACGAGGAGGTACCATCATGAGGTTTCAAAGCCAGGCAGCCTAGCTCCAGAGCCTGCCCTTGGTGCAGGCTGGGCTGCCTCTAGGAGACACACACAGGATGTAGAGGGCAGAGGGCGTAGGCGTATGTGCATGCATGCACATGTGGCCATTGTGCAGCATCAGGGAAGGGTTCTGTGATGATACCTGGTCACATCTCACATGTATCTGGTACAGAAAAAAAGCCAGAAAATATAGTTGAACTCAAACTTGGCAAGCAGTGATAAGTGACTGTGAGTTTTTATGTGGAAGGTGAGAGATGGAATTTTCCCCTGAAAACTTTACAGTAATCACGTTGAAACACTTAAACAATTTGGCAAATATTTTCCTTCCATTTTCAACTCTCTTATTTCCCTGCATGTGCATAAAGTTATCTTTATTGCACATGAAAACTGTTCAATACAAGTCTCAAAGGGTGTTTTTGGCTCCCATCCAACAGCTTCTGTTACAACAAATGGAAACCATATAGATATAATGACACAATGAGATTAAGATATTTGTATTGATCACAAAGTAGTTCTTAGTACCAGTTCTCAAAATGTACTTGTTTTGGCTGATAATTCCACTTTGGGGACCTATGTCCCCAGGAAAAACATAAAAGAGGCCAGGTGCAATGGTGCACACCTGTAATATCAGGCAATTGGGAAGCCAAAGTGGGAGAATTGCTTGAGCCCAGGAGTTCAAGACCAGTCTGGGCAAGATGGTGACATCCTGCCTCTACAAAAATTTTTAAAAATTTAACAATTAGGCACATGTGGTGTTGCATGCCTGTAGTTCCAACTACTTGGGAGGCTGAGGTCAGAGGATCACCTGAGCTCAGGAGTTCAAGGCTACAGTGAGCTTTGATCACTTCACTGCACTCCAACCTGGGTGACAGAACAAGACCCTGTCTCTATTTAGAAAAAAAGAAAAAGAAAAACATTGAAAACTCAAATATTCAGTTGTTGAATAAGCTCTGATAATTAATCATCAGAATATAATGTTGCTATTAAAAATCACATTATGGGCTGAGTGTGGTGCCTCATGCCTGTAATCCCAGCACGTAGGGAGGCCAAGGTGCTTGAGCTCACAAGTTCAAGACCAGCCTCGGTAACTTGGCAAAACCCCATGTCTACTAAAAATATAAAAATTAGTCGGGCATGGTGGTGTGCACTATAGTCCCAGCTACTCAGGAGGCTGAGATGGGGGGATGGCTTGAGCCTGGGAGGTGGAGGTTGCAGTGAGCAAGATCTTACCACTGCATCCTAGCCTCAGTGATAAAGCCAGACCTTGTCTCAAAAATGACATTATATATGCTTGAAACAACTTGTGAATTATAATATCAAACCCTGAAACCAACACTTGTGTATACATAATGATTACTTCAGCTCTGGACACTAAGAAGGATAAAAAGAGAATACAGTCTTTACAAAGTAGCAGAGGGGTTCATTGGTTTTTGTTTTGGTTGGTCATTTTGGTGGATTTATATAATTTGTCATTGATAAGAGACTGTTTCACTAAGTTCAAATTGAGCACTGCCCACAGAAGGCTGGGACGCTGTTGGCTAGGTTGGACTATGAGACCTGTACTATCTCTCCTGAATTGTCTCATCTTGTTCCTCATCTTCTTTCCTTTTAGGACTCTGTTCCTGAATCCCACATGGAAGTGCTCACATTTCCCAACTCCTCTCATAGCCTCAGAAGACAGAAGAGAGACTGGGTTATCCCTCCCATCAGCTGCCCAGAAAATGAAAAAGGCCCATTTCCTAAAAACCTGGTTCAGGTAGAGAAAGGAGTTCTCTATTTCTCTGAGAGGGATTTGGCAGAGAAGTATCGAGTAGAGAAAGGGAAAAAACCCAATGTTGGGATCCTTTTTTACTAATTATTTTTCTTTCATTTTATCTTCAGATCAAATCCAACAAAGACAAAGAAGCCAAGGTTTTCTATAGCATCACTGGCCAAGGAGCTGACACGCCCCCTGTTGGTGTCTTTATTATTGAAAGAGAAACAGGGTGGCTGAAAGTGACAGAGCCTTTGGATAGAGAACAAATTGCCACCTACACTGTAAGTATCTCTTCGAAATTTGTTGACACTGGGGTAATATCTGTCCAGGATTTTTTGGCCAACCCATGCTGGATCTCCATGTCAGCGGCTCTGGACACATGATGAGGTTCACTTGACACCTCTTGACCTGTTGCTAAGGAGAAATAACGGGAGAATATGGGACAGTTGTTAATTTTTCTCCTTGTCAGGAGAAAAGGAAGGAATCCTCATGCATCCTCATACATCCAGCACAAATTTAGACCCAAAATGTCAACCTGTTCTTGGGGCTAGAAATCCCTGACCTAAAGGGAGAAGATAGTGATGATATAAGGGAGCAAAACCCATTTCTTGGGGTTGGCAGCAATAAGAGCTTAGGGAAGCCAAGGGGTCATTTTTTTTGTTTTGGTTTTGGTTTTGGATTTTTGGTTTTTTTGAGACAGGGTCTACCTATGTCACTCAGGCTGGAATGCAGTGGTGCAGTCATAGCTCACTGCAGCCTGGACCTTCTGGGCCCAGTGACACTCCCACCTCATCCTCCTGAGTAGCCGAGACTGAGGGCGCATACCACCACCCCCGCTAATTTTTGTATTTTTTGTAGAAACAAGATCTTGCTATGTTGCTCAGGCTGGTCTTGAAATCTTCAGCTCAAGCAATCTGCCCACTGCAGCCTCCTAAAGTGCTGAGATTACATGAGCCACCATGCCTGACCAGGAAGTTATATATTGATGCCAAATTCAGAAATATCTGGGGGAAATGCTAGACTAGAAGGACCAGAGCAAAGTTCACCCTGCTTGGAATAAGAGGTTTTCAGGCCCCCACCTTTGTCTCTAGGCCTAATGTCCTGGCCCTGGGAAATGGGAGGTCTGAGCCCGTGAGGGTGTTCTCCAGCCCACTGAAGCAGCAGCAGCAGCATACGTGTGAGAAAAGTCACCCACTGGGGGTCTCGGAGAGCAGGAAAGTGTGGCAGCAGGAAGAGCGTACTCTGCTCTGGCTGGGCCCCTTCTCCCACGTTTTCTTCCTAATCAGAACTCAAGTTACCCTCACTTGGTTCTTTCAGCTCTTCTCCCATGCTGTGTCATCCAATGGGAATGCTATTGAGGACCCAATGGAGATTGTGATAACCGTGACTGATCAGAATGACAACAAGCCCGAGTTCACCCAGGAGGTCTTTCACGGGTCTGTCATGGAAGGTGCTCTTCCAGGTATATCCACTAATGAGAATCTGAACACCCAGAGGCTCTTAGGTTATTTGGACCCCAAAGTGTTGTCCAATCCCAAATGTTGGGTAACTAAAGCTGACCCTTCCTATGGACAGAGCTTCTGTGTCATATGCATGTGTATAGCATTCTACCTATGGAAACATATAGGGACAGTTTAAGAACAATCTTCCTTTTTTATTATTAAAAAAATTTTTTTAGGCTGGGCATGGTGGCTCATGCCTAGAATCCCAGCTCTTTGGGAGGCCAAGGTGGGTGGATCACCTGAGGTCAAGAGCTCGAGACCAGCCTGGCCAACATAGTGAAACCCCCATCTCTACTAAAATACAAAAATTAGCTGGGTGTGGTGGCAGGCACCTGTAATCCCAGCTACTTGGGAGGCTGAGGCATGAGAATTGCTTGAACTGGGGAGGTGGAGGTTGTAGTGAGCTGAGATTGCACTGCTATACTTTAGCCAGGATGGCAGAGCAAGACTCTGTCTCAAAATAAATAAATAAATAAATAAATAAATAAATAAATAAATAAATAAATAAACTTTTTTAATAGAGACGGATCTTGCTTTGTTGTCCAGGCTACTCTCAAACTCCTGGCCTCAAGCAGTCCTCCCACCTTAGTCCCACAAGCTGCTAAGATTATAGGCATGAGCTACACCTGGCTAAGAACAACCTTCCTAATTAAGGAACAGATCTTTGCCAATACCATAAAGCCCTAAACAATCCTCCTTGATCACGTTATGTTCTCTCCTCCATAAAGATACCCACACTCTGACTTTTGCGGTAATCATTCCCTTTCTTTTCTTTATCTATTACCATTTGTGTATTTACACCTGTTTCAAAGTTTATTACAGACTCACGCTATACATATATTTCTGTAATTTACTTCTTTCATTCAGCTTTCTAGATATAGGGTGCTTCTGTGTGGTCTGCCAAAGCAGTGTTGGGAGAACTGGCTAGCCATATGCAGAAAACTGAAACTAGGTCCCGTTCTTAAACCATATACAAAAATCAACTCAAGATGGATTAAAGACTTAAGTGTAAAACCCAAAACTACAAAAACCCTAGAAGAAAGCCAAGGCGATAAAATTCACGTGGTATTGTCATTCATTTATTCTCATTGCTATATAGTATTCCCTTGCATGATTATTTTAATATTTGTGTAAAACTGTTTATCCATTCCACTGTTGATGGAAATTGAGATTGTTTCTGTTTCTTGCTATTATGAACGGTGTCCTCAGAACATTCCTAAATATGTCTCAGTGCAAATACACAATAATTTCTCTAAGGTATATATCCTTAATAGTGGAGAGCTCATTTGTGGGATATGCACGTACTCTACTAAATAATGACAGTCTATTTTCCAGGATGATTGAACCAATTTATTCTCCCACCAGTAATTGTTAGACTTTTTAGCTTCTGCTAATTTGTTGAGTATGTTGAGTTGTTCTCCATGCAATTTAGAATTGTATTTCTGTAATTACTAATAGGCTAAGTATCTTGTATCTTTACTAGCTATTTGAGTTTCCTCTTTATGACTTGTCTATTCAAGTCTTTTGCCCTTTTTTGCTGTTGGGCTAGTTGTATTTTTCCTATTGGCTTTATTTTATTTTTTTGAAACAAAGTCTTACTCTGTCACCCAGGCTGGAGTGCAGTGGCACAATCACAGCTCAGCTCACTGCAGCCTCCTGGGCTCAAGCAATCCTTCCACCTTAGCTACCCAAGTAGCTAGGACTACAGGCGTGCACCACCATGCCCACCTAAATTGTTTTACTTTTTGTAGAGACAGGGTCTTGCCTGCAATCCCAGCAGTCTGGGAGGCTGAGGTGGATGGATCACTTGAGCTCAGGAGTTTGAGACTGGCCTGGGCAATATGGCAAGACCCTGTCTCTACAAAAAATATTAAAAATTAGCTGGGCATGGTGATGGTGTGTGCTTGGGACTACTTGCCTGTAGTCCCAGCTATTTGGGAGGCTGAAGTGGGACGATCACCTGAGCCCAGGAAGTTGAGGCTGCAGTGAGACATGATTGTGCCATTTCACTCCAGCCTAGGCAACAGAGTAAGATCCTATGTCAAAAAAAAGGTCATTTAGATGTTATAGGTACTAGTCCTTTATCAGTGACATATATTATAAATGTTTTCTTCCACCTTGAAGACAATGATCTCCAATGATCAGTCTCTTTATGAAGATACAGCTGAGTAGGGGATTGTGGAAAACGTTGATGTTTTTCTTACTTTACATGCCATTCGCTCAGTATAAGAGACAGAGGAAAATGAGTTTAAGGTTATTTCTCCCCCATACTCTTCCTTCACCCCTCACCCAAAATAGGTTGGGAAAGTCGAGTCCTCTGCACACAGCTCCATTTGAGCTTTCTTCCTTCCCTAGCACTTTGGTAAGAATTCTAGGAATTAGAGAACAGGGGAACTCTGACATGGTACCACCCCCAGGTCCCCTCCTTTATCCCTCAGGGCAGAATTGGATCAAGCAGCACTGACCAGGTCCCCAAAGTGCAGCTTGTCTAAACCGTCCTCTCCTTGAACTCTTCCAGGAACCTCCGTGATGGAGGTCTCAGCCACAGACGCAGACGATGATGTGAACACCTACAATGCCGCCATCGCTTACACCATCCTCAGCCAAGCGCCTGAGCTGCCTTACCAAAAGATGTTCACAATTAATAAGGACACAGGAGTCATCAGTGTGCTCACCACCGGGCTGGACCGAGAGGTCAGGGGTCAGGAGGATCCAGAGGGTGTGAAGGACAAATGTGTATTAGCTCAATCCCGTGGACAATGCAAAATCCTCCTAGGCCAGTTGCCAGTTAATATGGTGATGGTCTGAACTTTGCATCTGAGCTTCTGCCCAGAGGTTCTGTGCCTAGAAGACAGGTAGAATGGCATGAAGCAGACGGTTAAATATTCTGGTTCCCTGTGTTGGGCCGGGCGGGGCCAGAGGTGGCTAGTGGTCCTGGCCCTGACTTGGTTGTGTTGATCTCTCTGCAGAGTTTCCCTACATATACGCTGGTGGTCCAGGCTGCTGACCTTCAAGGAGAAGGGTTAAGCACAACAGCAACAGCTGTGATCACAGTCACTGATGCCAATGATAACCCTCCGATCTTCAATCCCACCACGGTAATTCTGCAGCTCCTTAGAGGGTTTCCAAAGAAAGGTCTTTTGTTGTTCGTGAACTAAGTTTCACCACTGCTCATGGGCGAAGTCTTTGAAAACTCTCTCCAGACTGGTGAATGTTAACTTTAAACTGAAAAGCAAGCATCTTGGGGCGGCAGTTGTCTTTAGCATCTTTTTTCCACCCTTGGCGTGGGGCCAATTGGCACAAGATTGTAAAGTTGCAAAAAGCACCTACTGATTTCATATCCTCATACTGTACATTTTTATAGAAAATTTTACTGGGTTTCATTTCTTCATTGAACAATATTTTCTAAGTTTATATTAGGCACTGTATGAGACACTGAAGGTACCATCAAAAAGTAAGCAGACAAAGATTTCATCTCATGAGGTTTCTAGTATAGCTAGGAAGACATGAGAATTATTGAATGCCAAGGATATTATACACATTCCAGGAGAAGGTATTGATAGCCAGGTAGGGGAAGTTTAAATCATCCTGTATTATGGCCAGGTGTGGTGGCTCACACCTGAAACCCCAGCACATTGGGAGGCCAAAGCTAGTGGATCCCTTGAAGATGGAGTTCGAGACCAGCCTGGCCATCATGGCAAAACCCCATCTCTACTAAAAATACAAAAATCAGTTGGACATGGTGGCATGTGCTTGTAATCCCAGCCACTTGGGAAGCTGAGGCACGAGAATCGCTTGAACCCAGGAGGCGGAGGCTGCAGTGAGCCGAGATTGTGCCACTGCACTCCAATGTGCCCATCCCCTAGCCTCTCCTCATCACCATCTTCTCCTTGAAGCTTGCCTTCAATTAGCCAGGTATGGTGGTGCATGCCTGTGGTCCCGGCTACTCTGGAGGCTTAGATGGGAGAATTGATTGAGCCCAGGAAGTCGAGGCAATAGTGAGCCATGATCGCTCCACTACACTCCAGCCTGGTGATAGTGATAGCCTGTCTAAAAAAAAAAAAACAACAAAAGAGGGTTCCTTTAATCCCCTGAGACCTGGCTCTGCTAGCACTCTTGGTATGTTGTAAATGACCCATCTCTTTGCTCTGCAGTACCAGGGTCAGGTGCCCGAGAACGAGGCTAACTTCAAAATCGCCACACTGAAAGTGACTGATGCTGACGCCCCCAACACCCCGGCGTGGGAGGCTGTATACACCATATTGAATGATAATGAGGGGCAATTTGTCGTCACCACAGATCCAGTGACCAACGATGGCATTTTGAAAACAGCAAAGGTTTGTATGGTACCTGGCAAGATGCAGAAACTGACATCCTGTTCATGCCCTTGTCCCCTGGTATCTTCTCAGAAGTAGAATTGCATTGGCAGGGGGATGAGTGACTTTCCTAGATTCTAGCAGACCATGTGGGGTTTGCAGTGGTTCTTCTTGCTCATGTAAGAAATCAAGAAGCTAAGGTGGGACATGGTGGCTCACACCTATAATCCCAGCACTTTGGGAGGCTGAGGCAGGCAGATCACCTGAGGTCAGGAATTTGAGACGAGGCTGGCCAACATGGTGAAACCCTGTCTGTACCAAAAATACAAAAATTAGCCAGGCTTGGTGATGCATGCCTGTAATCCCAGCTGCCCAGGAGGCTGAAGCAAGAGAATCACTTGAGCCCGGGAGACAGAAGTTGTAGTGAGCCAAGAAAGCACCACTGCACTCCAGCCCATCTGGAATAAAAAGAAAAAAAATCAAGAAGCTCTTGCACAGCATCCCAACATTGAAAAAGAAATACTGCCTGCTTTAATGGGCTCTTTCCCAGAAACATTCTCCTTCCCTTAGCCCTTTTCATTTTGCAATGAGAGGGAAAATGAATTGCTGGTCTCTGCTCTTAAGCTGGATTATTTTAGAAGTGGGGCAGATATGCTTGTTTTTGAAAAATGTCCTAGAAACTTAGTGCATGGTGGTAGAAGGCTCTCTAGAGAAAGGAGGTTGAAGCTACACTGAGCTAAGATCATGCCACTGTGCTCCAACCTGGGTGATAGAACAAGACTCCACCTCTTTAAAAAAATGGCTGAGCATGATGGCTCACACCTGTAATCCCAGCACTTTGGGAGGCCAAGGCAGGTGGATCACCTGAGGTCAGGAGTTCGAGACCAGCCTGGCCAACATGGTGAAAGCCCGTCTCTACTAAAAATACCAAAAATTAGCTGGGTATGGTGGCACATGCCTGTAATCCCAGAGGCTGAGTCAAGAGAATTGCTTGAACCTGGGAGGCAGAGGTTGCAGTTAGATGAGATCACGCCATTGCACTCCAGCCTGGGCAACAAGAAAGGAAAGAGACATGAAAACCAAGAATTTGGGTGAATTGCTTGTTGAAGTGACTCAAAAAATTATTGGGTCCCTAGAATAGCCCCCCAGCTTTGACTTCCTCTCGAGCAGGTGAGCAGATTTGAGAAGCCTTGGTAAATAATTGTGGGTTTTGCCATTTAAAGTAATGGCAGAGGGTGGGCGCAGTGACTCACGCTTGTAATCCCAGCCCTTTGGGAGGCTGAGGCAGGTGGATCACCTGAGGCCAGGAGTTGGAGGCCAGCCTGACCAACATGGAGAAACCCCATCTCTACTAAAAATACAAAATTATCCCAGCATGGTGGAGCGTGCCTATAATCCCAGCTACTCGGGAGGCTGAGGCAGGAGAATAGCTTGAACCCTGGAGGTGGAAGTTGCAGTGAGCTGAGATCGCACCATTGCACTCCAGCCTGGGCAACAAGAGCAAAAATTCACCGCAAAAATAGAAAGAAAGTAATGGCAGAAACCACAATTACTTTTGCAACAACCTGATATATTCCCAAAAGCAACAGATAAGGATTTAATTTTCTTTTTACTAATACAAAATGTTTTGTTTTTAACTTCATTGTTTTTCTTCTCTAGGGCTTGGATTTTGAGGCCAAGCAGCAGTACATTCTACATGTGGCAGTAACAAATGTGGCCCCATTTGAGGTCTCTCTCACCACCTCCACAGCTACTGTCATCGTGGATGTGCTGGATGTGAATGAAGCCCCCATCTTTGTGCCTCTTGAAAAGAAAGTGACAGTGTCCGAGGACTTTGGTGTGGGCCAGGAAATCACATCCTACACTGCCCGGGAGCCAGACACATTTATGGAACAGAAAATAACGTAAGTGTGAGGATTTTTCTTTTTCCCTTTTTTTTTTTTTTGAGATGGAGTCTTGCTCTGTCGCCCAGACGTGGTCTTGGCTCACTGCAACCTCTGCCTCCAGGGTTCGAGTGATTCTCCTGCCTCAGCCTCCCGAGTAGCTGAGATTACAGGCACATGCCACCACATCCAGCTAATTTTTTTTGGTATTTTTAGTAGAGATGGGGCTTCACCATGTTGGCCAGGCTGGTCTTGAACTCCTGACCTCGTGATCCACCCGCCTCGGCCTCCCAAAGTGCTGGGATTACAGGTGTGAGCCACAGCGTCCGGCCAGGATTTTTCAGCTGACTCACAGCAACTGGGTGTGTGTGTGTGTGTGTGTGTGTGTGTGTGTGTGTGTATGTGTGTGTCTGTATTTTTATATATAAATATGGTTCATAGCATTTTGTCATTTGTCTGTACAAGACCATTGTCTTGTTAAATTTATTTTTTTATTCCCTTTATCTGTGCGGCTTTCACCTTTTCCCTTCCCTCCATAGATAGCCATTCTTGGTCTGATGTGCTGCCTCTCTTTAATCTCTCGTAGTATGGTAGAAATGCAATTTTACTTTGCATACACAGTATTGTGGGGGTGTGTGTGTGTGTGTGTGTGTGTTTTGTTTGTTTTGTTTTGTTTTGAGTCTGGAGTCTTGCTTTGTTGCCTAGGCTAGAGTGCAGTGGCATGATCTCTGCTTACTGCAGCCTCTGCTTCCTGGGTTCAAGCAATTCTTGGGCCTCAGCCTCCCAAATAGCTAGGATTACAGGTGCCTGCCACCATGCCCGGCTAATTTTTGTATTTTTGGTAGAGACAGTGTTTCACCATATTGGCCAGGCTGGTTTTGAACTCCTGACCTCAAGTGATCTCCCCACCTCCCAAAGTGCTGAGATTACAAGTGTGAGCCACTATGTCCAGCCCATAGTATTGTGTTCTAAGTAACTTACTATTAATATTTCTTTTTTTTTTTAACTGTTTCTCTTTTTAAACTTAAAGGCACCTCAATAACGTAAATCACACAGATGCTGAAAACCCACATGCCAACCAACCAACTACAACACTTGCTTTAAAATACTCTCATTTTGGGCCAGGTGCGGCAACTCTCGCCTGTAATCCCAAAACTCTGGGAGGCCCAAGTAGGTGTGTCACTTTGAGGGCAGGTGTTCAAGGCCTGGCAAATGTGGCAAAACCCTGCCTCTACTAAAAACACAAAAAATTAGTTGGGCATTTTAGCGCGCACCTGTAATCCCAGCTCCTCAGGAGACTGAGGCATGAGAACTGCTTGACCCCAAAAGGCTGAGGTTGCAGTGAGGCAAGATTTCGCCACTGCACTCCAGCCTGGGCGACAGAGTGAGACTCTGTCTCAAAAGAGAAAAAAAATTACTCTCAACCAGGTGCAGTGGCTCATGCCTGTAATCCTAACACTTTGGGAGGCCAAGGTGTGTGGATCACCTGAGGTCAGGAGTTTGAGACAAGCCTGGCCAACATGGCAAAACCCCATCTCTACTAAAAATACAAAAATTAGCTGGGCATGGTGACAAGCGCTTATAATCCCAGCTATTCAGAAGGCTGAGACAGGAGAATTGCTTGAACCCAGGAGGTTGCGGTTGCAGTGAGCCGAGATTGCACCGCTTGGGTGACAAGAGCGAGACTCCATCTCAAAAAAAAAAAAAAAGAAAAGAAAAGAAACAAAAAATTGCTCTCATTTTCTATTTGTAGCCAATGGACTCCTCATAATCTAGAGGCTATTTCTACATGCTCCAAACTGTCAGGCCTGACAAGTTTTAATTGAAGTTTAAAAGAATAGTGAAAAATCAAAGACAGCAATGTAGGATTTGGTTCAGTGATGAAACCCTGGATTGTACAGTTTCCAGGCTGGAAACAGGGCAACCTGTGTCTCCAGATGTTCATGGCAGGAGAGGAGGTGGCATTTTGCCACCAGTTGCAAACTGCTATATTGTTTGGGGGAAGCTGGTCTGGAGGAGTCTTCTTTTAAAAGGAAATAAGGATTATAGTAATCATTTCTTCAGCAAGAATCACCCATAGATGCTAAATCCATTGAGTGAAAGTTAGTTGCTGAACAACATATTCTCAAATTATCTACCTGCAGATTATAGACGTATCATATAGTGAAAAAAGGCACCTTTGCTATGAAGAAATCTGGTGGCCTTTCCCTCATCCAAGTGATCAAAGTTAACATTATCAGTAAAAGCACAGACAGACATCATGTGCCTCCCAGTGTCCTGCGCTGGGAGGCTACAGCATCACCTCTGTAGTTTCTTGTCCCCACCACTGACCCTCAGAATCGATTATCTCAATCTAAATTATGAGGAATAATCAAACAAACTCAAACTAAGGGGCATTCTACAAAACAACTGGCCAGCACATTTTTAAAATGTCGGTGTCAAAAAAGAAAAGGAAGACCTAAGGAAGAGCCATGCCAACTAAAGGCCATATTGGATCTTGAATCCAGAGGGTGCAAGGTTGCTGTAAAGGACATTTTTGGAAAATCTGACAATTTGAATATGCACCATATAGTTGACAATAGTATTCTATCAACGTTTTATTGCCTAAAATTGAAAATCAAGTTGAGGTTATATAAGAGAATGTCTTTGTTCTTACGAGATCACACACTGGTATTTATAAGTATTTATTTGCAAATGGTTCAGCAAAACAAGAAATTATGTAGGCATGTGTCAATATAGAGAGAGAGCAGATGTGGCAAAATATTAACAATGAGTAAACCTAGGTGAAGAGTCCATGGATGGTCATCATATTATTCTGGTAACTTGTCTGTTGTATTGTTGGTTTTCAAAATAAAAACATTAGAAGTAATCAGATAACTGAAGAAGAGCTTAAGCCATTTTCAGCTTCATGCTGTTTGCTGGTCCTATTCTAAAAGCCAGAGCTTGTGTCTATTCAGGTATCGGATTTGGAGAGACACTGCCAATTGGCTGGAGATTAATCCGGACACTGGTGCCATTTCCACTCGGGCTGAGCTGGACAGGGAGAACTTAGAGCATGTGAAGAACAGCACATACACAGCCCTCATCATAGCTACAGATAATGGTAAGGGGGCCCCACGTGGGCCTTTGCTGCCTCACCCTCCTGGCTAGTTCACTTCCTTGCCTCTCTCTTCTTTGGGAGGCAAGAGTTCATTCTTTTTCTTTTATCTTTTTGTTTGTTGAATTGATTTGTATAAAGGTATGGAGTATAAGGGTAATTTTGTTACATGCAGAGATGTATAGTGGTAAAACCAGGCCTTTTAGAATATCCATCACCTAAATAACATGCATTGTACCCATTAAGTAATTGCTCATCATCTACTCCCTCCCACTCTCACCCTTCCCAGCTGCCATTGTCTGTCATTACACAGTCTACATCTATGTGTACACATTATTGAACTCCCACTTCTAAGTGAGAGCATACAGTATTTCTCCTTATATGTCTGACTTGTTTCACTTGAGACAATGACTTCCAGTTTCATCCCTGTTGCTGCAAAAGATGATTCTTTTGTTTATTTTTATTTTTTTTTATTTATTTATTTTTGAGACAGAATCTAGCTCTGTCACGCAGACTGGGAGTGCAGTGGCACGATCTCAGCTCACTGCAACCTTCGCCTCCTGGGTTCAAGCAATTCTTCTGCCTCAGCCTCCCAGATAGCTGGGATTGCAGGCACCTGCCAACACACCCAGCTAATTTTTGTATTTTCAGTAGAGACAGGCTTTCATTATGTTGACCAGGCTGGTCTCGAACTCCTGACCTCATGGTCCGCCCATCTTGGCTTCCCAAAGTGCTGGAATTACAATTGTGAACCACTGCACCCGGCCTTGTTTTTCCTTTTATTCTTAAACAAAGGCATTCTTATTATCAAAAAATTCAAATGGGCTGGGCACAGTGGCTCACACCTGTAATCCCAGCACTTTGAGAGGCTGAGGTCTGAGGATCACTAGAGCCCAGGAGTTCAAGACCAGCCTGGGAAACATGGCAAAACCCTAAGGGAAGCAGACAACAATGGTTTACATTCTAGGTCCAAAGCTTAATAGTCGTGTGACCTTGGATTTGCTGTTTAATTTGTGTGTCCCATAATTCCTTTACCTGAAAAGTGATAATACCCATCTGGATGAAATGAACTAGGTGAGGGTCCTTCCAGACTGTTTCTGTGTATTTAAATACATTTATAGACTGGGTGCTAGGCTCACACCTGTAATACCAACACTTTGGGGGTCTGAGGTGGGAGATGGCTTGAGGTCAGGAGTTCAAGACCAGCCTGGGCAACATACTGCCCATAATCTCAAAATGCTGGGATTACAGGTATGAGTTATCATGCCTGGACTCCTTAAGTTAATGTTAAATGACTTGTGCTCATTGTTTAAAAAAAAATTTAGCCAGGCATGGTAGCTCACGCCTGTAATCCCAGCACTTTGGGAGGCTGAGGCAGGTGGATCACCTGAGGTCAGGAGTTCGAGAACAGCCTGACCAACATGGAGAAACTCAGTCTCTACTAAAAGTACAAAATTAGCCTGGCATGGCAGTGCATGCCTATAATTCCAGCTACTTGGGAAGCTGAGGCAGAAGAATTTCTTGAACCCAGGAGGCTTAGAGGTTGCAGTGTGCCGAGATCGCACCGTTACACTCCAGCCTGAGCAATAAGAGTGAAACTCCATCTCAAAAAGAAAAGACATTTTATGTGAGAAAAAAAAGTTTTAAAAATTTACAGTGATGCCATCTAAACATATCTATTTATAGGTTTGAGATGGATTCCTCCATTGTTTTCTTTCCCTGTTGTATACTAATCTTGATGATAGTTCCCTGGATACCAATTTTTCCTACTACCATATGCTTGGTTTTGTGTCAGGATATAAAAGAAATGCAAACAGAAGTGTGGATGGGCTGAGTGCAGTGGCTCACACCTATAATCCCAGTACTTTAGGAGGCCAAGGTAGGAGGATCACTTGAGCCCAGGAGGTCAAGACCAGCCTCGACAACATGGCAAGACCCCCCGACCCCTACAAAAAAGTTTAAAAACTAGCCAAGCATGGTGGCATGCGCCTGTAGTCCCAGCTCCTAGGGAGGCAGAGGTGAGAGATTAGGCCCAGGAGGTAGAGGCTGCAGTAAACTCTGTTCATGCCACCACATTCCAGCCTGGGTGACTGAGTGAGACCCTGCCTTAAGAAAAAAAAGGTTGGGCATGGTGGCTCACGCCTGTAATCCCAGCACTTTGGGAGGCCGAGGTGGGTGAATCACCTGAGGTTCAGCGTTTGAGACCAGCCTGACCAATATGGTGAAACCCTGTCTCTTAAAAAAAAAAGTGTGTATGAATTCCCAAATCTATTTTGAAAACCAATTTGCAGAGACTTAAAAAGACCCAACTTATCCCCTTTGATTTTAAACTTCTAGTGTGGCTTAAAATAAAAATAAAAGACTCAATGCTTTGGTAATGACCTTAAATGGCATGAAAGCGCAGAAAAAGAACTAGGGAGACAGCAAGCAGGCAGTAATGATTTCTTGGAGCTGTTAAAATTCAATGAATGAATAATGGCATGTGAAGAAGGAGGAGGGTGTCCCTGGTATGAGGAATAACTTGAATAATGGTTATCAAGGTGGGAATAAGCTTGTCTATGTAAAACGGTCAGAGGCCTGCCCACCTGGGAATGGAGGTGCCCTGGGATTGGTAGGATGGGAGGTTCTGGGGATGGAGTGGGGCCTGGTGAGGGACGACTGAAGAGCTAGGACAAGATCTGGATTGGGTCTGGTAGAAGGCAGTGGGGATCCATGACTGTTTCTGAGCTGTAACATTTCCTCTGTATTTTCTCTTAGGTTCTCCAGTTGCTACTGGAACAGGGACGCTTCTGCTGATCCTGTCTGATGTGAATGACAATGCCCCCATACCAGAACCCCGAAATTTGTACTTCTGCGAGAGGAATCCAGAGCCTCAAGTCATCAACATCATTGATGCAGACCTTCCTCCCAATACATCTCCCTTCACGGCAGAACTAACACATGGGGCGAGTGCCAACTGGACCATTGAGTACAATGACCCAAGCGAGTACCTGAGCTTTATTTTGGCAACTGTGCTGTGACTGCCATGCTTTCCTTCCCCCAGATCCCCACCTCTCAGTTTCTCTTCTCAACTTCCAAATGCCACCCCTTCTGTTGATACTTGTTTCCTTGTTCATTCTGTCTTTGAGGCCTTACTCCAAAGGTCTCTTTCCTTTCTTGGTATCTAGCTTTGTAGCATGCTACCCAGTAATATAAAACCCAAGCAGGGCTCCCTCTCCCAGCCTCTAACCACCCTCCAATCTCCTCTCCACTTGCAATCTCCGGGACTGTCTTCTCTGCCACCTCCCGCTCCTGGGACGAAACAAGGCCATTTTTGTGGTTAGCTCCTTCTTGCCGATGAACCATGAACTCCCAGATTGTCAGAACTATTCCACCGAGGTGGAGGCAGCTGTCGACTGCCTGGTCAATTTGCATCTGTGGGCCTCCTACATCAACCTCTCTCTGGGCTTCTATTTCCACTGTGATGATGTGGCTCTGGAAGGCGTGGGCCACTTATTCCACAAATTGGCCAAGGAGAAACGCAAGGGTGCTGAGTATGTCTTGAAATAAACGCAAAACCAGTGTGGTGGCCATGCTGTCCTCTAGAACATCCAGAAGCCATGTCAAGATGAATGGGGTAGGCTGGGCACAGTGGTTCACATGTGTAATCCCAGCACTTTGGGAGGCCTAGGTGGGTGGATCATGAGGTTGGGAGTTCGAGAACAGCCTGGCCAAGATGGTGAAACCCCTCTCTACTAAAAATACAAAAATTAGCTGGGAGTGGTGGTGTATGCTTGTAATCCCAGTTACTCAGGAGGCTGATGCAGAAGAATCACTTGAACCTGGGAGGCGGAGGTTGCAGTGTGCAGAGATCATGCCATTACACTCCAGCCTGGGTTACAAAGTGAGACTCTGCCTCCAAAAAAAAAAAAAGATGAATGGGGTAAAACCCTGGACACAATGGAAGTCGCTCTGGCCCTAAAGAAGAACCTGAACCGAGCCTTTTGGATCTTCATGCCCTGGGTTTCATCCACACAGACCTCCATCTCTGTGACTTCCTGGAGAGCCACTTCCTTGATGAAGAAGTGAAACTCATCAGGAAGATAGGTGACCCCCTGACCAACCTCTGCAGTCTGGCCATTCCCCAGCCCAGGCTGGGAGAGTACCTCTTTGAAAGGTTCACCCTAAGGCACAACCAGGAGCCTACTGAGCCCAGCAAATCTGAAGAGCCACTCTCTGCCTGAGTCTCTCCCTCCAGCCACTAGTCAGCTTTTTAACCTGCCCTAGAGCCCTCTACCAAGCCTTAGACCAAATGGAAATAAAGCTTTTTACAGCCAAAAAAAAAGAGTAGATACCTAACTAAAACCCAAGCAGCTCTGCTCTCTTTGCTCGGCTTGCAAATGTCTTTAGGTCACTAACAATTTTATTGTGGAACGAGCTTTTTTCCCTCTCTCTCTCTCCCTCCTGGTCTCATCATTTCTTTTTATTGCTTCCCCCAGCCCAAGAATCTCTCATTTTGAAGCCAAAGATATACTTAGAGGTGGGTGAGTACAAAATCAATCTCAAGCTCATGGATAACCAGAATAAAGACCAAGTGACCACCTTAGAGGTTCACGTATGTGACTGTGAAGGGACCGCCAACGTCTGTCGAAAGGCACAGTATGTCGAAGCAGGATTGCAAGTTCCTGCCATCCTGGGGATTCTTGGAGGAATTCTTGCTTTGCTAAGTAAGTCCAGCTGGCAAGTGGCTCAGCCTTTGACTTAAAAAAAATGGAGGAGGGGCCGGGCGCGGTGGCTCAAGCCTGTAATCCCAGCACTTTGGGAGGCCGAGGCGGGTGGATCACGAGGTCAAGAGATCGAGACCATCCTGGTCAACATGGTGAAACCCCGTCTCTACTAAAAATTACAAAAAATTAGCTGGGCATGGTGGCGCGTGCCTGTAATCCCAGCTACTCAGGAGGCTGAGGCAGGAGAATTGCCTGAACCCAGGGGGCGGAGGTTGCGGTGAGCCGAGATTGCGCCATTGCACTCCAGCCTGGGTAACAAGAGCGAAACTCCGTCTCAAAAAAAAAAAAAAAAAAAAATGGAGGAGGTTTATTTCCTGCAAATGATATTTGTTCTTATATTAGTTAGGGTATGGTTTTTAGCCAATATAGGAAAGGGACTTCCAGGCTATGCTGGCCTACATTGAATAGAAGTTTGTCTCTTACCAAATGGTTTGGAGGTAAATGGTCTAAGATGGGAGGGAGGGCAACCCTGTGCCATGAAGTCAATAGGGGACCCAGGTTTCTTCTATCATGTTTATTTTCATCCTTCAAGTCAGTACATCCCAAGCTTGAGTGCATGCAAATCACATGGGCCTCTTAGTAAACTGGGAAATCTGATCCAGGAGGTCTGGTGTGGGGCCACAGATTCCACATTTCTAACCAGCTCCCAGGGGGTGCTGATGTTGCAGTTCCTTAGACCATAGGCAGAGTAGCAAGACCTTGGGGGCTGCCCCAGCATGGTCTAGGCTAGCCAGCTCACCACCACCACCACCTCTATATTCCATCCTAGAAGGGGGAAGGGGATGAGAGAGGAAGTGGAGGCCACACGACTGGAGGCAATGTCACCTCCGCTTATATACCATTGGCCCAAACAGAGCCACACCTAGCTGCAAGGGAGCCTGGAAGCTTCTACTTGCAATTGAAAATTGCCATGGAGTAGGGATGGGTGTAGGGTGAGCAATGAGTGAGTGTCAATGACTAAAAGGATAAAGGAGAAAAAGGATGCTGAGGAAAATTGGCAGATTCTGCCATAGTCCTTAAACCTGTTTCCCTTGGAGCCCACCTGCAGTGACCCCTCAGGGTGACACAGGTGCTGTTATGGTCAAGGCGAATTCTTTTGTCATTCACACACAGAAAATACTGAATCTATTAAAGGAATAAGTTAGTTATGAAAACAGATTATGTGCATCATATGACAAAGTATCCATATGGAGAACACTACATCAGAACTCTGGTAGGGCTTTAAATATGTGAATGATAGAAGAGCAAGCGAATGATTCTCAATGCAAGTGATAGCAAGTCACTTAGAAACCTTTGACCAGGTATGGTGGCTCACACTTTGGGAGGCCAAGGTGGGAGGATTGCTTAAAGCCAGGAGTTTGACACCAGCTTGGGCAACAAAGCAAGACCCTGTCTCTACAAGATAAAAATGAAAAATATATTTTTTTAATTTAAAAAAAAATTTTTAAAGAAATGTTTAAAGATCATATGTAATTAGTGACCATAAGGGGTGGTCCAGCTCATAAATGCCTTTGTAGTCACTGTAGTCAGAAAAGGCTGTGAATTGAGCCTCGTGGAAGGTGGAAGTGGTTAGGCCACAGGTGCTGGTAGAATTCCAATGGGTAGATGGATATTCAGGAAGGTTCCTCTCCTAGCAAAGCACAGCAGAGGCTTGAGTAGACTCCTTGGAGGGCAGAGACCAGGCCAAGCTGATGGGAATGGAAAAAGATTTTTGCAGGGAGCAGTGGGACCAAATTGAGGGCTTTCAATTTAGGTTGGGAATGGGTGCCATTGATCTTGCTGCTGCTGCTTCAGTGGACTCCGGGAAAGGGTGCCTTTCAATGTTCCGGAAATGTTTGCTGGGCATCCCATTTACTTCTGCCCCTTCCTGCTGGTGTCCTCCCGAAGTCGAAGAGAAGGATAGTGGCTGTTGAGAATCGAGCAAGCTTTCTGGACTTTTATTCTGCCAGGCTTTACATGGCTTTATTGTGCCATGAGATTAGGTTAATTCATCATTGTCTTACGCACGGTAACATAAGCCCTGCCAGCCCACTTCGTAATCAAATTACATTTGAGTGGCCTGCTCTGCTTTTGGGATAGTGATTACTGACTAGTATATTCATTCTAAGGGGATTTTTTCCTTTTTTTTGGCAAGGTCTCGCCCTGTGGCCCAGGCTGTAGTGCAGTGGAGTAATCTCAGCTCACTGCAGCCTTGACTTCCAGGGTTCAGGTGATCCTCCCACCTCAGCCCCCTGGGTGGCTGGGACCACAGGCCTGAGCCACCACACCCAGCTAATTTTTTGTATTTTTTTGTAGAAACAGGGTTTCCTCATGTTGCCTGGGCTGGTCTCAAACTCTTGGGCTCAACCAGTCCTCCTGCCTTGGCTTCCCAAAGTGTTGGGATGACTGGCATGAGACACTGTGCCCAGCAAGGGAATCTTAAAGATTGTAGTTATACTTGAAATATTTTTTTTTAATAGGATTATCTAAATTTGCTATGGGTATGTATTTTTTTATACACTAGGAGTGGGGATTCCCATGTAGAACAACATTTAAAACAGAGGCAGTGCCAGAACTCAGATGTTCAATTTCTTGTATTTTTACTTTTTTTTTTAATGGAGTCTTGCTCTGTCACCCAGGATGGAGTGCAATGGCTCCATCTCGGCTCACTGCAACCTCCGCCTCCCAGGTTCAAGCAATTATCCTGCCTCAGCCTCCTGAGTAGCTGGCATTACAGGTGCATGCCACCACGCCTGGCTAATTTTTGTATTTTTAGTAGAGACAGGGTTTCACTCAGTTGGCTGGTATGGTCTCTATCTCTTGACCTTGTGATCTGCCTGACTTGGCCTCCCAAAGTGCTGGGATTACAAGTGTGAGTCACTGCGTCTGGCCTGTATTTTTATTTTTATGATTTTTTTCTTTCTTTATTAGAGATGGGTTCTCATAATATTACTCACACTGGTCTCGAACTCTTGAACTCAAGTGATCCTCCCACTTTGGCCTCCCAAAGTGCTGTGATTACAGGTGTGAGCCACTGCACCTGGCCAATTTCTTGTTTCTTAAGGGCAAAGATGTGCTAGAGGCCAGGCGTGGTGGCTCATGCCTGTAATTTCAACACTTTGGGAGGCTGAGGTGACAGGATTGCTTGAGCCTAGGAGTTCAGGATCAGCCTGGGCAATATAGCAAGACCCCATCCCTATCTTTAAAAAAATTACTAGAGACACACCTAATCTGAAGCTTTTCATGTTTTCCTCCAATATTTGGTTGCTTACTCTGTGCCAGGCTTTTTCTCGGAGCCTGGGGACACTGGGCTTCTGGCATAACTGATAAGAGGCATCTTTTTGGAAACCGTAAACTGCTTGTTGCTGTGCATGGGTGGGGACTGTGTAGTTCCTGTAGTCTTGTTCAGTGCCAGGCGTGGTGGCGGGTGCTTGTAATCCCAGCTACTCAGGAGGCTGAGGCAGGAGAATCACTTGAACCCAGGAGGCAGAGGTGGTAGTGAGCTGAGATTGTGTCACTGCACTCCAGCCTGGGTTATAAAGCAAGAAAATACTTCATAGGGTACATATATGGGTACTTGGGCACACATGCCCATAGAGAGAAAATACATGGAATCTTTTTCTTTTCATTCACAATGAATACTAAAATTTTAAAGTTAAGTGGTTTCTTTCTGGCTGCTTTAGAGAATTTTTTTTTTTTTTTTTGACACGGGGTTTCACTATGTTGGTCAGGCTGGTCTTGAACTCTGGACCTTTTGATATGCCTGCCTCAGCCTTCCAAGGTACTCGGATTACAGGTGTAAGCCACCACACCTGGCCAGAAATTTTCTTTTTTTTAAGTTAAATGTTAATTGTATATATCCTAGAAATAATCGCAAGATCAAATGTAACCTTTGTCTTAAGCCTTGGGAGTTAATTAGACTTTAAAGCTTACTTACATGATTCTATCTTAAGAGAAATAAGAACATACCAGGCAATTTTATAGTCTCCATCCCTCTCTCCATAGCTGATTATTTATCAGTCACATTTGGGCTGACCTAGGAGCCCTGCTCACAAACCTTCAATGGCTCCAACTCAGAATCAAAGCCAAAGTCCTTGCAGTGGTCCATGTGCCCCTCCCACCCTGCTTGCCCCTCTCAGCTCTTCTCCATGTTTCTTCCCATCACTCATCGTGCTACAGCCATGCTGGCCTCCTCACCTTCCCTCCTTCACACCAAACATGCTTCTGCCTCAGGACCTTTGCCCTTACTGTTTCCTCTGCCTGGAACATGTTGCCCCAGATTTGGGAAAATGACAATGATTGAGTTTAAGACCTATCTGAAAATTAAAGACCATGCTTGAATTCACATGTCACTGTCTACTATCTTGTACTGTGCACACCAACTTCAGGGATGTGTCACGTGGATTAACATTTTCAAGTGTATTGAAGGCAGCCAGTGGCTGTCTAATTGCCACTTGTCTGGTATGAGGGGTGCTCTGTGATAGCTGCTGCTTCTAGCCTTCTTTATCTTTGGCTCTCAATACTCTTGATCTCTCTCCCTCACAACCCCCCACTGTAGTCCTGATTCTACTGCTCTTGCTGTTTCTTTGGAGGAGAACCGTGGTCAAAGAGCCCTTACTGCCCCCGGAGGATGACACCCGGGACAATGTTTATTACTATGATGAAGAAGGAGGCGGAGAAGAGGATCAGGTAGGTTTCTAAAACCATGGTAGCTCAGTGATGGTGTCTTTATTTGGAAGAAGCAATTTCTTTATTTGGATAGAGAGAGGTAGGCATTTGAAACAACTCTGCATCACTTTGTATATTATCTTTTTAAGGCCAAGAAAGTAGACCATCATCATCATCACCAACACAGCTAATATTTATCAGTCCCATACTGTTTTGCACCCCAATGAATGAACTGAGGCACAGAGCACTTCAGTAACTTGTCTAAGGTTACACAGCTAGGAAGCGACAGAGCCAAATGGTCTGTCTCAGAGCCTGCACTCCTCATTGCCATTCTCCGGACATGAACTTCAACCAGATTATCTTTGGCACAGAACAACTGGTCTGCTTTGTTTCTCTTGAGTTTTTAGTTAGACCAAACTGCTTTTCATCAATATTATATCTTTTTTTTTTTTTTTTTGAGATGGAGTCTTGCTCTATTGCCCAGGCTGAAGTGCAATTGTATGGTTTCAGCTCACTGCAACCTCCGCCTCCTGAGTAGCTGGGATTATAGGCACCGGCCAAAACATCCAGCTAATTTTTGTATTTTTTAGTGGAGTTGGGGTTTCACCATGTTGGCCAGGGTGGTCTCAAACTCCTGACCTTGTGATCTGCCCACCTTAGCCTCACAAAGTGCTGGGATCACAGGCATGAACCACTGTACTTGGCTGTCAATGTTATATTTTTAGTCCCTCTGTATTTCCTGATTTGGGAGATGATCTTAACATCTTACCCTAGAGTTGTTCAGGGAACTGTTCAGTGTCTTGGAGAGTCTACTTACCATGGGGGTTTGTCACAGAGTCCTGCTTTTGACTCAGGCCATGGAGAGAGGCACAATTTACTGAGCTCCATACAACATAGGGAGAAGGGTATACAGAGAAAAATATTGTTCCAGATTTCAGGGACTTCTAAGTCTAGTTGGGATATCAGATATATCGTATCAGTGAGCAACAGAGCAACCAATCCCAGAATCTCAGCAGCACACAACATGCAGGTCTTCTCATGCATTGTGGGGTAGCTGTGGCAACTGCTGGTTTCATCTTAGCTCACGAGAATCTGTAGGATGGCTGGGGCTCAGCAGATTTAGGCAGTGTTTAGCTGAGTGGCTCTAAACTGCTAATTATATTCAGATTTGTTCCATGCAAGTCTCGTCTCTGTACCAGCAAGCTGATGCCTTTTAGACCTTTGCCTGTGTTGTGTGTTCCTGTCCCATTGGCTAAGCAAGTCACATGACTAAGCCCCAAATCAATGGAGGTAATACTCTTCTCACAGGCTAGGGTTGGGAGGGAGTGAATATTTGCTAAATAATTATCTCATTGTCATGTCCTATGAAAATTAGTAAGGCACGGCCGGGCTCGGTGGCTCATGCCTGTAATCCCAGCACTTTGGGAGGCTGAGGCGGGTGGATCACGAGGTCGAGAGATCGAGACCATCCTGGTCAACATGGTGAAACCCCGTCTCTACTAAAAATACAAAAAAATTAGCTGGGCACGGTGGCGCATGCCTGTAATGCCAGCTACTCAGGAGGCTGAGGCAGGAGAATTGCCTGAACCCAGGAGTCGGAGGTTGCGGTGAGCCGAGATCATGCCATTGCACTCCAGCCTGGGTAATAAGAGCGAAACTCTGTCTCAAAAAAAAAGAAAATTAGTAAGGCACACAAACTATATCTGGATCCACACATGCTATGCACAATTCTTTCGGCTATATTTTTTTCCAGTGCTATTTGGGAAACTTTTAGCTTGAAAACTGTCATTTTGCAGTGAACTGGTAAAGATCATACAGTTGGCAGTGAAGACATCATCCAATATTGTAATCCGTAAACTGGACTGAGCCCTGTGCTTATGACTGTTTCTTTCTTACTCTTCGTTGTACTTCTACCTTTTTCTCCAAAGGACTTTGACTTGAGCCAGTTGCACAGGGGCCTAGACGCTCGGCCTGAAGTAACTCGCAACGATGTCGCACCAACCCTCATGAGCGTTCCCCGGTACCTTCCCCGCCCTGCCAATCCCGATGAAATTGGAAATTTTATTGATGAAGTAAGTAATTCATGTGGAAAATCAAAGCATGGCTCATCTCTCAGCTCAGAAGGGAGGAGTTGTGTCAAAAATGAGAAAAAAGTCTTTAGATTCTTTACTAAGTTTTCAGCTTCCCTGAGCCCTGCTTTCCTTAATCTGTGTCTCATCTGAATTTCGGATCTAATAATGCTTCAAATTGCAAAGTCCGTGTGGCAAAACCAAGAATAATTATTTAGTAGATCTAGAAAAGAGGCTAGGGACATTCTAAGTAAATTTCATTTTAGTTTCGCTAATGGAATTTACCTCCCTTGCCTCCCACTAGTGGTTGGGATATAATGATAAATGTATATCACAAGTCTACCTGAGTATTAGAAAAATAGAATCTGTATTGTATATGTCAGAAATGCATTCAGCTCTAAATACAAGAAGCTGAAACAGATGGGAGTAGATTTACCTTGTACAAATAGTAAGCTAGGGTGAGCAGTCTAGGCTGGTGGATCAGGCTGTTCCATGTTTCTGCTCCATCATCTTAGCATGTAGACCCTAGTTCTCAGGCGTGTTGCCTCATAATCACGGATGGCTGCCACAATCCAGACCTGAGGCCTGTATTCCAGCAGGAAACAGTATGAAGAGCAAAGCAGAGGACAAAAGTCTGTCTTCTAGCAAACCGTCTTCTTACTCAACAAGGGAGTTGTCCACCCAGTTATTGGCCAGAACTATCAGAAGGCTTTGCCTACTTGCAAGGGAAAATAATAAGGCATTAAATGAATTAGCTTAGGGTAAAATGAGAAAGAACCCAGTAAAGGAATAGTCTGGCAGGGTCTGTTTCCTTAAGCTATGTTCTCTAATAACTTGCCTGGTTACTGGAATGGTTTTTGGGCTTGTCTGATGGTCCAAGCCCAACCCTCAGTGAGTCTCTCTGGTGAAGTCTGTGTTTGCTTTAGCTTCCTATAGGAGTTGTCAGTGAGGACTATGAGGCACTGCAGTGTTAGAAGTGACCAAGCCACATCCATTTTAGCTACTGGAGAAAACAGTAACCAGTTTAACCACCTCTCTTATTTATTTATTTATTTTATTTTCATTTTTTGAGGCCGTTTTACTCTTGTTGCCCAGGCTGGAGTGCAGTGGTGTGATCTTGGCTCACTGCAACCTCCAACTCCCAGATTTAAGAGATTCTCCTGCCTCAGCCTCCCAAGAAGCTGGGATTACAGGCACCGCTGGCACGCCCGGCTAATTTTTGTATTTTTAGTACAGACGGGATTTCATCATGTTAGCTAAGCTGATCTCAAACTCCCGACCTCAGGTGATCTGCCTGCTTCGGCCTCCCAAAGTGCTGGGATTATGGGCGTGAGCCACCGTGCCTGGTTACCGACCCATTTCAGATACATCTGGATTCGGGCCTTACCTCCATTCACACTCATTTGCAAGTCATCACTTGTATTTGTAGTTTTTATTTAAATTATAAAAATAATATGCTAAAAAAGAACAAGATCATGTCTTTTGCGGGAGCACAGGTGGAGCTAGAGGCCATTATCCTTAGCAAACTAACACAGGAACAGAAAAGCAAATACCACATGTTCTCACTTAAATGTGGGAGCTGAATGACGAGAACTCATGGACACAAAGAAGGGAACAACAGACACTGGGGTCTACTTGAGGGAGGGGTGTGGGAGGAGGTGTGTACAGGTTATTTCATCGTAGTTATCTTTTACAGAAAAGACTGGGTACTGGGCTTAATACCTGGGTGATAAAATAATCTACACCAAACCCTCACAGCGAGTTTACCATTTGTTATCTATATAACAAGGTTTCACATGTACCCCCGAACCTCAAAGTTGTTGTTTTTTTTAAGTGTGCTTGCTATTTTAAAAATATAAATTATGGTGTGGGGGTGTACACCTGTTATCCTAGCTACTTGGGATGCTGAGGCAGGAGAATCACTTGAACCCAGGAGGCGGAGCTTGCAGCGAGCTGAGATCGTGCCATTGCACGCCAGCCTGGGTGACAGAGCAAGAATCTGAGACTCCATCTCAAAATAAATATATTTTATTTATTTCATAAAATGAAAAGATATAAAGAAAAAAAAGGCCAGGCACGGCTGTGACTCATGCCTGTAATCCCAGCACTTTGAGAGGCCAAGGTGGGTAGATTGCCTGAGGTCAGGAATTCAAGACTAGCCTGGCCAACATGGTGAAACCCCATCTCTACTAAAAATACAAAAATTAGCTGGGCGTGGTGGCGCACACCTATAGTCCCAGCAACACAGGAGGCTGAGGCAGGAGAATCACTTAAACCTGGGAGGCGGAGGTTTCAGTGAGCCGAGATCACACCATTGCACTCCAGGCTGGGCCACAAGAGTGAAACTCCATCTCTTCCTTAGTTCCCATACCCTTGCTCCCCAGATTTAACTGTTAAGCATTTGGCATTCATCCTTCCAGACCTTTGTGGGCTGAAATGCAGCCTGCATGCACCAGTATGACTATCTCCAAAGTTTCCAGCTCTGCGCATCACAGCTGGTGGTGTGGAAGCCACACCCTTATTTGTGGGGACTCCATCCTGACTGATTGGTGCTTGTATCTCTCCTGCCTACATATAACTTATCATTTCACTTTCTCTTTCCATCAACAACATATCCTGTGCATCTTGCTGTGCCAGCATGTATAAATGTACTTCGTTGGTGTTCACTGCTCTGTGGTGTGCCACAGTCTGGGTATATTGTCATACCTTACATGGTGCTAGACTTCTTGTCCCAGATGACAGGTGTGCCCTTCCTTTCACTAAAAGATCCTGTTGTCCCCTTTCTTCTTTAGAATCTGAAGGCGGCTGATAGTGACCCCACGGCCCCACCTTATGATTCTCTGCTCGTGTTTGACTATGAAGGAAGTGGTTCCGAAGCTGCTAGTCTGAGCTCCCTGAACTCCTCGGAGTCAGACAAAGACCAGGACTATGACTACTTGAACGAATGGGGCAATCGCTTCAAGAAGCTGGCAGACATGTACGGAGGCGGCGAGGATGACTAGGGGACTCGAGGGAGACGGGCCCTAGACCCGTGCGCTGGGAAATGCAGAAATCATGTTGCTGGTGGTTTTTCAGTGCCCTTCTCTTGAGATGAGTTTCTGGGGGAAAAAAGAGACCGGTCAGTGATGCAGTTAATATAGTTAGATTTTCCACTTTATAGCTCTAATCGATGTGTGTTAGAAAAGTTTTGACTTACTCCTAGAAGCTATTTTTTTTCCCATCTCTCTTTACATGGTGGTGATGTCCAAAAGGTACCCAATTTTAATATTCCAGAAAAACAGCTTTAGTGTCAGAAGATTCACCTAGCACCTTGCAGATTTTCTTAAGGAATTTTGTCTCACTTTTAAAAAGAAGGGCAGAAGTCAGCTATTCTAGTTCTGTGGTTTTGTGTATATAATTCTTTTTTTTTTAATTTGTGCACTCCCGCTCATTGCTACAAAGTCCCCTTCCCCCCTTTTTTTTTTAAACAGGTCTCAATCAGCCAGGTTGGAGTGCAGTGGTGCAATCACAGTTCACTGCAGACTTGACCTCCCAGGCTCAAGTAACCTCCCACCTCAGTCTCCCAAGAAGCTGGGACCACAGGCATGCACCACTATGCGTGACTAATTTTTTAAATATTTGAGATAGGGTCTCCCTATGTTACTCAGGCTGGTCTTAAACTCTTGGCTCAAGTGATCCTCCCATGGTGGGCTCCCAGAGTGTTGGGATTACAGGCATGAGCCACTGCACCTGCCCAGCTTCCAAATCCCTGCCATTTTTGTTTTTTTGAGACAGAGTCTTGTACTGTCACCCAGGTTGGAGTACAGTGGCATGATCTCAGCTCACTGCAATTTCTGCCCCCTGGATTCAAGTGATTCTTCTGCCTCAGCCTGCTGAGTAGCTGGAACTACAGGTATGCACCACCACACCCAGCTCATTTTTGTGTTTTTAGTAGAAACAGGGTTTCAGCATGTTGGTCAGGCTGGTCTCAAACTCCTGACCTTGGGATCTGCCCACCTTGGCCTCCCAAAGTGATGAGATTACAGGTTTAAGCTACTGCACCTGGCCCTCCCTGATGTTTTTTAAGAGACAGAGTTTCACTCTGTCACCAAGGCCTGGGATGCAGTGACGTGATCATAGCTCTCTGTAACCTCAAACTCTGGTGCTCAATCAATTCTCCCACCAGCCTCCTCTTTATTTTTTGTACAGATTGGGTCTTGCTATGTTGCCCACGCTGGTCTTGAGCTCCTGGCCTCAAGCAATCCTCCTGCCTTGGCCTCCCAAAGTGCTGGGATTTGCAGGCTTGAGCTGCTGCGCCCAGCCTCCATGTTTTAGTATCTACTCTCACTCCTGAATTCAGTTGCTTTGCCCAAGATAGGAGTTCTTTGATGCAGAAATTATTGGGCCCTTTTAGGGTAAGAAGCTTGTGTCTTCATCTGGCCACATCTTGACTGGGTATTGTCTACTCAAGATCTTTGATGGCTTCCCTCTTTCATCTCCTGATTACGTAACTTGCAATGGGCATCTATCCAGTGACTTGTTCTGATGTGTTCATCGATGTTTATTTAGCACTGAAATAAGAGTTATATACTCCCGGACTTAGAATAGTGCCTGAAGTGCTGTAGCCAAAGATAGAGTGGAACTATGAAAAGTGGGCATGGAGATGGCAGGAAATCTTGTCATTGAGTCTGTCAATTTAACAAACTGATGCTGAGGATGACTGAGGTAGGTCTACTTCATCTCTGAAAATTCTGGAGGGAATGGAGGAATCTCAACATGTGTTTCTGACACAGGATCTGTGCTTTGTACTCAAAGCCCAGAATCCCCAAGTGCCTGCTTTTGATAATGTCTACAGAAAATGCTGGCTGATTGACACATTTGCCCGATTCCAATTGTGCATAGAAAACTGAGAATATTTAAAATTCCAATTGTTTTTCTTAGGAGCAAGAAGAAAATGTGGCCCTAAAGGGGATTAATTGAGGGATGCGGGATGGGAGTGGAGAGGATCTTGAATTGGATCTTTTTTTAATTTAAATGTGAGTTTCCACTTTTGACAATCAAAGGAAAGACTTGTTGAAACAGCTTTACTGTTTCTCAAGTGTTCTGGAGAAAAAAATCAACCCTGCAATCACTTTTTGAAATTGTCTTATTTTTCTGCAGTGCAAGCTGTATCGAATATAGTTGTATGTAGAGAATGTCACCGTAGTCTTGAGTTTGTATGTGTGTGGGTACTGGTATTTTCTTTGAGGGTGGAAAAGGAAAACCAAGCTGAAAATTATTCTCAAAGATGAATTTTTATAAATTTTATTAAAGAATTTTGTTAAACCATTGTCGAACTTGTTTGATTCCACCACATTTCCAGGCAAGAGAAAACATGGATGGAGATAACCTCAGTCAAACATGGAGAAAGGCTGAGCGCGGTGGCTCATGCCTGTGATCTCAGCATTTTGTGAGGCCGAGGCCGGTGGATCACTTGAGCTCAGGAGTTGGAGAGCAGCCTGGGCAATGTGGTGAAACACCACCTCTACAAAAACACAAAAATTAGCTGGGTGTGGTGGCACGAACCTGTAGTCCCAGCTACTTGGGAGGCTGAGGCATGAGAATCACTTGAACCCAGGAGACGGAGGTTGCAGTGAACCAAGAGCATGCCACTGCGCTCCAGCCTGGGCAACAGAGTGAGACTCGGTCTCAAAACAAACAAACAAACAAAAAAAATGGAGAAAGAAGCTTCATGCTGAAATAACTTCTCCAGAAGTTTCTATCATTATACTGGGGCAACATAGGAGAAACTACATTCACATGGTAACCTAAATAAATAGGAGAAACTAAATTCACATGGATTTGAACAGTATCTACACGACGTGGTGAAACCAAAATTCCCATGTCCACAGGAGACTATGTGGGCCGAGCTGAAGGACAGGACAGAGCCAAGTTTCAAACAACATTCTTGAAGTCAGCAAGTGAGTGTACAGGTCAGTGGTTCTCTGAATGTGGCCCCTCCCCCATGGGACATTTGGCAATTTCTGGAGTACCTGGGGAGCTGTTGTCACGTCAAGGCCAGGCATGCTGCTAAACATCCCTGCATAGCACAATTCCCCACAACAAAGAATTACCCAGCCCAAATGTCAGCCACTGTTAAGAAATGCTGGTGTAAGCCTAAAACTTTTCTCTGTTGAAGGGGTGTGACTTTTCTTTGGGTAATTTTTTAGTGTGATATAATACCACATACAATTTACCATTTTAGCCTTTTTTTTTTTTTTTTTTTTTTTTTTTTGAGACAGGGTCTCACTCTGTCACCCAGGCTGGGGTGTAGTGGTACAATCACAGCTCACTGCAACCTCAATCTCCCAGGCACAAACAATCCTCCTGTCTCAGCCTCCCTAGTAGGTGGGACTACAGGTGTGCACCATTGCACCTAACTAATTTTTAAAATTTTTTTGTAGAGACAGAGATCTCACTATGATGCCAAGGCTGGTCTTGAACTCCTGGACTCAAGTGATCTGTTCTTCTTGGCCTCCCAAAGTACTGGGATTACAGAAGTGAGCCACCAGGTTGGCCTCATTTTAGCCATTTTTAAGTATACAGTTCAATGACGTTCAGTATATTCACGTTGTATTGCAACCGTCACCACTATCCATCTTCAGAACTTTTTCATCATCCCAGACTGAAAACTATGTACCCAGTTATTTTAATTGATTTTAAGTGTACAATTCGGTGGTATTAAGTACATTCAAAATGTATAACCATCAGCTCTGGTTTTAGAACTTTTTCATCATTCCAAATAAATGTTGTATCTAGTGGGCAGTAAATTTCCACACCTGCCTGCCCCCATCCCCTTATTTCATTTATATTCTCTTCACATAAGTAAGCCCCTTTAATCATCCTTTTGAATCTGGCTTTTCTTTTTCTTTTTTTTTTTTTTGAGACAGAGTCTCACATTGTCATCTAGGCTGTAGTGAAGTGGCGTGATATTGGCTCACTGCAATCTCCACCTCCTGGGTTCAAGCAATTCTTCTGCCTTAGCTTCCCAATAGGGGAGACTACAGGGGTGTACCACCATGCCCAGCTAATTTTTTTTGTATTTTTAGTGGACATGGGGTTTTACCATGTTGGCCAGGATGGTCTTGATCTCCCGAACTCGTGATCTGCCTGCCTCAGTCTCCCAAAGTGCTGTGCTGGGATTACAGGCGTGAGCCACCATGCCCAGCCTTTTTTTTTCTTTTTTTTAAAAGACAAGGTCCTGCTCTGTTCCGCAGGCTAAAGTGCAGTGGTGCGATCTTGGCTCACTGCAACTTCCCAGGTTCAAGCCATTCTCCTGCCTCAGTCCCCTGAGTAGCTGGGATTACAGGAGTGTACCACTATGCCTGGGTAAATTTTGTGTTTTTAGTACATAGTTTCACCATGTCGGCCAGGCTGGTCTCAAACTCCTGACCTCAAGTGATCCGCCCACATTGGCCTCCCAAATTGCTGGGATTGCAGGCATGAGCCACTGTACCTGGCTGGCAGTGAAAATTAAAAAGACATTTTGGGGAAAATTGAGGGCTTTGATATGTATTACACGTTCCCAAATGAATATTTAATTTTCTTGGGTATAATATTGGTAATCTGGTTCTCTCAAAGAACTCTTTATTAGAGACAGAGTTTCATCATGTTACGAAACCAGGTGCCAGGTCTCTGAACTCCTGGGCTCAAACACTCCACCCACAGTCCTGGAATTACAGACGAGCCACCTCGCCCAGCCCCAACTTTTAATTTTCAGTCTCTTGTTAATTAAGAAGAAAATACCTTCCCAGTTATTATCAGAAACTATTAGGCCAGGCACAGTGGATCACTTAAGATCAGGAGTTGGAGACCAGCATGGACAACATGGTGAAACCTTGTCTCTACTAAAAATACAAAATTAGCTGGGCGTGGTATGTGTGCCTGTAATCCCTGTTACTCAAGAGGCTGAGGCAAGAGAATTGCTTGAAGCTGGGAGGTGGAGTTTGCAGTGAGCTGACATCACTCCAGCCTGGGTAATAAGAGCAAGACTCCATCTCAAAAAAAATAAAAACTATTAGTTTACCCTCTTTATTACCCAGCAAACTACAGAAAGGATAGAGTGCAACATGAGCAGTATGGAGTCTTAATGCAATTCATGAGGACCACTTAGTCCTTACATGAATCTGGTTGCTAATATTTCTATTATATTGTGACAATGACTCCTGACTGTTATACCTCATTTTCTTTATCCATTCATCTGTTGATGAGTACTTAGGTTGATTCCATAGCTTAGCTATTGTGAATAGTGCTGCAGTGCTCATGGAAGTGCAGACACCTCCATGACACACTGATAAACCTTTTGGGTAAATACCCAGAAATGGGATTGCTGGATCCCTTTATCCATTTTTGAATTGGGTTGTTTACTGTTGAGTTTTTAAAATATCTATTCTGGAAATTAATCACTTATTAGATACATAATTTCTTCACATCCTCCCCAGCACTTGTTCAATTTCTTTCTATGTATTTTATAATCTTGTAAAATTTATGTATTTTGAGATGGAGTCTTGCTCTGTCACCTAGTCTGGAGTGCAGTGGTATGATCTAGGCTCACTGCAACCTACGCATCCCAGGTTCCTCAGCCTCCCAAGTAGCTGGGATTAAAGGTATTCACCACCACACCCAGCTAATTTTTTTGAATTTTTGTAGAGATGGGTTTTCACCATGTTGGCCAGGCTGGTCTCGAACTCCTGGCCTCAAGTAATCCTACCGCCCCAGCCTCCCAAAGTGCTGGAATTACAGGTGTGAGCCACGGCCTCTGGCCTTGTTTTGCTTTTTATAGTAGCCATCCTAAGATGCGTGAAGTGGTGTCTCATTGTGGTACTGATGTGCATTTTCCTATCAATGCTGAATACCTTATCATAGGCCTATTGGCCATTTGTATATCTTCTTTGGAGAAATATACATGCAAATCCTTTCCCCATTTTTAAATTTATGGGCTACAAAATGATGTTATGATTTATGAATACAATGTGAAATAATTAAAACAAGCGTTGGGGAGAATTTGAAACAGGAACAGAGTTTTTGTTTCAAAAAAAATGAAGACGTTCTGGAGATGTATAGAGGTGACGGTTGCACAAAAATGTGAATGTACTTAATGCCGCTGAACTGTGCACTTAGAAATTCTAAATTTTACCTACAATTTAATGCAAATGGTAAAAGTCCAGAAAAAATAGAATAAGGACAAAGAAAGAAAAATGGTCTTATATAGAATAAAAATTAAATTGTTCATAGAGCACCTACTGTGTGCTGCGAGGATCTGTACCAGCAAGGAAAATTTTTTTTTTTTGGGAATAGGGTCTCCTCTGTCACCCAAACTGGAGTGAAGTGGCATGAACATGGCTCACTGCAGCCTCGACCTCACAGGCTCAAGCAATCCTCCCACCAAATCTCCAGAGAATAGGCATATAGGCACATGCCCAGCTAATTTTTATATTTTTTACAGAGATGGGGTTTCACTATGTTGCCCAGGCTGAAAATGTTTTTTCTTTTTTTTTGAGATGGAGTTTCTCTCTTGTTGCCCAGGCTGGAGTGCAGTGGCGCGATCTCAGATCACTGCAACCTCTGCCTCCCAGGTTCAAGTGATTCTCCTGCCTCAGCCTCCCTAGTAGCTGGGATTACAGGCGCCCACCCACCAGGCCCAGCTAATTTTTTATATTTTTAGTAGAGGCAGGGTTTCACTATGTTGGCCAGGTTGGTCTTGAAATCCTGACTTCAGGCAATCCACCCACTTTGGCCTCCCAAAGTGCTCAGATTACAGGCGTGAGCCACTGCACCTGGCCCAAAAATTTTAACCTCTATAAACGTCCATGGTGAAGGCAGTTGGCCCCAGCAAGGGTCTGGAAGCACAGGAGACTTGGTAAACAGCTCCTGTTTCCCTTTTGCTGGTTCATTAGATGCCAAGACACTAGAGCTGTGTTGAGTTCAAATCCTGATTCTGTCTTTTCCAGCTGTGAGCTTGACAAGTTACTTGACATTTCTATGCCTCAGTGTCTTCATCTCTAAAATGAAGGTAACTGGGACGGGCGCCGTGGCTCACACCTGTAATATCTATACTTTGGGAGGCCGAGGCAGGCAGATCACCTGAGGTCAGCAGTTTGTGACCAGCCTGGCCAACATGGTGAAACCCCATCTCTACTAAAAATACAAAAATTCCGCAGGTGTGGTGGCGTGGCCTGTAGTCCCAGCTACTTGGGAGGCTGAGGCAGAAGCATGGCTTGAACCCAGGAGGCAGAGATTGCAGTGAGCCAAGATCGTGCCACTGCACTCCAGCCTGGGCAAGAGAT